ATTAGAGTTGCCGAAAAAATAGATTAATGTTCCATTTAATTTGAGTATGTAAACGTTTCAAAAGTAAATTTTTCGTCATTTATTTGCGATTTTTTCAAATCACACAATTCATATCTAAAGCTTACTTAAAAGTAGCTATGTATAATCCAAACAGCAAAAAATGTATTCTCAAACCATGAATGAATGTCTCTTGAGCGGTCTGCTTAAACTTCAGTAGCTAATTTACAAGTCCAATTCTTCGCTCGCTTGGAATTAGAAAATATTGGGCATTCCGATGCCACTGCTACCATTGCGTATAAACTTTATCACACTTGTTATAGGATCGTTTGTCATCCAAGGCACATGATATTTGGCAAGTTTATTTCTAAACCTTGGCAGCAATGAATCTTGTATTAGCTACTTAACAATATGCTTACTTACATAATATGCTCTATCGGGTTTGTCCATAGTCAAATACTGTTGTATATATCGTATTTTGCGAACGTACAGTACTGTATCCTTTCTGTTTTAAAATGAACAGCAGTCGCTGCATGGAACCGATTCAAGGTAAGTTTGGGGTATGTTATTAGCTTCATTCAACATTAGACGCGATTGACTACCCGAAACGTGGCTATTGACCGGTTGATCGCGATCAACGTGCTAGCCTCACCCTGGTATATGACAACAAATAGCAATTGTATAGTACCTTAGTTACGACTATAAAAAGTCATTGTTTCGCCTAATAGTTCACCCATAAAAAATCACGACAACTAACATAATATGTCATTATACAAAATAGTTCCATTTGAGAAATGTTATTTTCAAAGAATAAGGCTTTCATATTCATTTCCAGTGAGATGAAATCCGATATAGAGGCCCTATTATATGGCGAACCACGGCATTTCGCCCTGTTACCAGTTAGTGCCAGGTATGGGAATAATAACCAACCCAGGTATTTCAGTATTTGTTTCAGAAGCGTGAACAACTCGATTCATGAAGATGTTACGACAACCTTCCTATACAATTTATTAGCCTCACCACCGTAGCGCATGCCAGAAAATTGTATACAATCTCAATAACTATAGATAACCCCAACGGACAAGATATTCTGGTTTTTCATGTTTGTGGCGTGATTATTGGTATATTACACTAGCATATTGGTATGAGCTTACATTTGTATCCAATATACTTTTTCCGTTAGATAAATAGCTACTGTACTTCATGCTTATTCTGAGAATATTTTGATGTGTTGGCGCATATAAAATGGTTTACGTGTTTGAAACCATCATTTTTATTAAAATTAAACCGCATGTACGGTTTGCAGGTACTGATATAGCCAGGGCTGCCATAACGTCCTTATTTCTAAGATTTGTCCTTTTTTTGATGGTATTTATCTTCGAAAATAATTTTGTCCTTATTTCTAAGAAACGTCCTCATTCCGTCCTTTATTTTATGGGTAGAGGTTGAAATATCAGGCATTTAGATTGGTCAAATCGAAGGATTGATTTGCTAGAAATGATATTTTACTACCTCATTAGGCCTGATTACATGTCCGCTGGAACCGGTCTAGCAGACCACATATTCACGCTTCAGTGGTTCGCCTGCGATTCAAATCCGTGCTATCGGTCCAGAACATCAGACCTCCTATTTAGGTCTGGATTCTGGAAGTGAGCTAACCGGTATTGCTCAGTTGATGAGCCCACTTCACACAAGTGTTGTGATAAAATGTAATTGTTTTAATTTGGTTGCCAGTCTGCCAATAAACTACTGGTAACTGTAGGCCTACTGTGATTTTTGAATGGATCGTGTGGCGTAAGGTGCCAGTAGTCTGCAGCGTGGATGGTCGGCCAAAATGATCTAAATCGTTCATCTTTTATGCCCCCAATAAATTTGTCGTTTTGTTCTTAGATCCTCATCATATTCTGCAAATAACTTCAAAGAACTTAAATCAAGAACGTGAATTTAATTTTGATACTTTAATTAACATTTGTATTATATTTATGAATTTATTGAAAATAAAATATATGCAGTGTTTGCAAATCATGACTTATTTGATTTAATCCGGCAACTCTAAAACTGTTCTCAACTTGTTGGTTTGGACATGTAATCGAGGGCGCTAAGTAGTCTCCGAGACCACTTTGACCGAACCGGTTCGCTGGACTGGTTTTGATGGACATGTAATCATTCATTACGTAATAACATCAAATTATTTGACACAGTGACAGAACAATAGCCTACCGACCAAAATCACTGCGTGTAACCTAAATCAAAATACAACTCAAAAGTGAGATGGAACAGATTGTTTCTAAGAATAAAGAACTGCTGGAGCAAATCCTGTGCAAAGTATGATCAGACACGGGTCGCACTAGCATGAATACATTTTGTTTATTACATTTCGTTCTTTGTTATTCTATTATTATGTTTCCCTGATGTCTTCATTTTTTGGTTCATATCGATGGCAGCCCTACATATAGCTAAGTTTAGATCCAATTCCGATTACAGCAACTAAAGTAAAGCTCTGCGAAAGACACAATGACAATTATATAATTTATTCGCAATTATTCTCTTGAAATACAACTGACAAATATCACACAAAACTACAAAAACGAGGCAATGTTTGCAACCATGCTTGAATATCTGTTTGAGCGACAAAAGTGTCTGTGCGGCTGCGTGCACAAATTGCAATTGTTACGTGTTGCGTCATTATTGACTCATTGCTGATTGGTCATAGTTACGAAAATTAACGAGGAAACTGAAGCTTGGGGAAACCTTCATAAACGCTGTTCAGCGAATACATACAGTAAGGAATTGAAAGCGTTGCCGGTATATTTTAGCAAACTGAAAGGTTAATTGTTGCAACAAGAGAGCTATGCTCAAATATATGGACACGTAGAGTCACATAATTTTGATGACGTCATAGAGAAAAAAAAAAGTAATAGCCTTCTGGAGAAAATTTTTATTTTTAACCACTGAAAATTTCAAAGCAATTGGTCCAGTATTCGAAGAGAAAAGCGACTTTTTAAAAACGTGTCAAAGAACAAGAACAACAACATAATATTGAAAAGATCGTTATGTCCACTACGTGTCCAACAAAGAGATGAGAGCTGAATTCACGGCGGTACCGGTACCTAACGTAGGTGCGGTACTGAGTTAGCAGTCAGCCAGCATCTTACCTGTACACTGTAGGCCATATACGGTAATTGATCACAGAACAGTTGTTCCCTTGCAAATTTTATGTTGTTTACACTTTAGGACAGATAATTGATCACAGAACAATTCTTCCCTTTCAAATTTTATGTTGTTTCCAGTAGACTCTCATCAAAATAAACAAATATAGTAGGCTACAAGTGCTACAACGCTTGCATTACTGCACTGGTCGGACCGTGAAAGAATAAGTTACGGTAATTTCATTGTGGTAAGACACCGGTACCGGCACCAGTACCAGTATCGTACTTACGTACTGAGCTACCAGTACCGGTTAGCAGTCAGCCAGCATCTTACCTGTACACTGTAGGCCATATACGGTAATTGATCACAGAACAGTTGTTCCCTTGCAAATTTTATGTTGTTTACACTTTAGGACAGATAATTGATCACAGAACAATTCTTCCCTTTCAAATTTTATGTTGTTTCCAGTAGACTCTCATCAAAATAAACAAATATAGTAGGCTACAAGTGCTACAACGCTTGCATCACTGCACTGGTAGGACCGTGAAAGAATAAGTTACGGTAATTTCATTGTGGTAAGACACCGGTACCGGCACCAGTACCAGTATCGTACTGAGCTACTAGTACCGGTACCGAACCTGTAGGTCTGATATTCCGTTCCGCATACGATAGGCTATAAAACTTGCATTGCAGCATTAGTAATACCGCGGAAGGAATAAGTCAATTTCACTGCGTTACGGTACCGGTATGGCAACTTACTAGTACCGACCTACAGTAGCTGTAGTACTGAGCAAGACAATCGATCGCGAAACCGCTTGAAATAAGTGTAAAACAGTGTTCCCATGAATAAAAATAAATACCGCGAAATTTTGTATGAAATATCATATCTCATAGGATTCATATAAAATTTAAGAATAAATAAAAGTAATAGCCTTCTGGGGAAAAATATAATCTTTCCTCACTGAAAATTTCAAAGCAATTGGTCAAGTAATCAACGAGAAAAGCGATTTTTTCATAACGATACCAAGAAGAAGACAAATAAGAACAAGAACAACAAAAATACCAAAACGATCGTTATGTCCACTAACGTGTCCAATAATTCAAATCTGCTCGAGTACCACTTGAAAAGCTCCCGCGTACCACAGGTTGAGAACCACTGAGGTATCAATGAAATTGTACGCTTAATCGTAGCCATATATTGCTCCAGTTTAGGTTTTGCTACTAATCCCTACTCTAAAATACAGCCGACGTTCAGTCTTTCCCGAAGAGAATATCATGGATGATCAGGGTCTCATAAAGCAGCACAATGACCAGACCCGACCAAACTACCAGGTCATATATGTGTTATTACACTCAACTCCTATGATAATTATGTGCGTGGGGACTGCTGTTACTCAGGGGGGGTTCATGTAACCGCTGGTAGATGAAGGAGGTGCGGCTTAAATCACCACGAGGTCATAAAACTGAAAACAAATAACAGGCTAACTGATCCCATACCCGACATGGACTGGTAACCGGGGGGAGGCCGTGGTATTGAACCAATAGTTTATAATATCACTATGCCGTCTAATAGCGGGTTTTCTCTCCATGGTATGACTAGATAAATCCCACTCTATTCTTTTTCGCAATTATGGCTGTGTGAAATACAATTAAACATTGGAACCAAATTCGTTTATTCTGATAAAACTCCTTCACTGTTCCATTTGGGATTTGTTTTTATTTGCACCATAGTAATCTAATCTAACGGTGTTTATGTGATGATTGCTTTCTGCAGACGAGTAAAAATGGAAGCAGAGCGTAGGAACCACTTTGGACCTGGCACAAGCTTGTCACTGTTGTATAGGAAGGTTATCGTAACAGCGAGATTGCTACTGGCGCTATGAAGTCGTGGTTGATCTCAATCGGCAATATAATCGTAAGCAGGTCTGCGTCGTGTGAGTCGTTATTCCTCACTCGGGGACTCCAGTTCAGTTCAACGTCAGTAGCAAAACAACATAATAGATTTGATAAAAACAACGATATAATAGGTTTGATAAATTGATTTAACTGCGTAAATATTTATGGACTTAAACTTATGTAAACAAATATGTAGATGCTCCATAACTATCGTTTTTTCGCGTCTCCTTGACTCGATATCACTCGATATATTATTGGACACGTAGTGGACATAACGATCGTTTCAATATTATGTTGTTGTTGTTCTTGTTCTTGTTGTCCTTGTTGTTGTTCTTTGACACGTTTTTAAAAAGTCGCTTTTCTCTTCGAATACTGGACCAATTGCTTTGAAATTTTCAGTGGTTGAAGATAAAATTTTTCTCCAGAAGGCTATTACTTTTTTTTTCGCTATGACGTCATCAAAATTATTGCCATTGGGTGGCGCTACGTGTCCATATATTTGAGCATAGCTCTCTTGTGTTTATAAATAGTCCAAGTACATGATAGGAGTATATAATCTACTAAGATACCAACATAAATAGTACTGGTCAGTCTTGCGTTATTATTTCTGGTAGTAGAATAATCCAAATTTTATTTACTAAAATAGGCCATACTCGACATTTCGTGTTAACCTATTCTTTTCAATATTTAACTAGATTTTAGCTGGACACGTAATGGTGCGGAAATGTCAAACATTTTAATTGTAGTGCTTGCTACAATCTGTCTACTTCTGCCGGCCGTGAAAAGTGGGAATACTGAAGGTATTGCTTATAGTTTTCATAGGTTTTTGAAATAGTTTTTTTAGTTGAACACTAAACTAAGTGGGAGTGGCAGAATTGTACAATTTGGGTTAAAATCGGCCGTGTTTACAAAAGTTATTCATCACTAGAACAGAGCTATGACAGGTTTGTGTCGCCAACACAATACAATACGGAAATATAAAACGCGACAAAGTGGTTCATTTTCATTTAGAAAAATTTAAGTCAAGCAATTTCATTTCTTATCAGGGAGAGTGAATGTGGAATGTGATCACCGCAAGATAACGATTTCGGTTTCACAATATAATGATGCAATATTAAATGCAAGCGATTTCTACATCAGCTCAAGCGGGAATTTAGACACTAATTATTGCTTTGGTGAGTTATTAATCTGCTATTTTGTACAAACAAATATATTATCACATTTTCTGAATAACTTTGACAACAGACGTATATACTGACAACAGTAGTGTAAACTAATTGTTGAATTTACCAAAAGGAACATAAAAGTTCATCATCATCGTGCTAAGTTTGGGTGTTTTCAACTAATATAGAAAGTAAATATAAAATACCTAAAACATTAGATTTTGTAATACTGATGTTAATGAACGGCACCAGGCCCACAATTTCCCACGCCCGCAATACTAAATTTCCGCAGGCGCTTTGAATTTAATTAATAATTTTACAAAGAAAATACGAAACACCGTCTGATATTCACGTATCTAAGGAAACAAAGTAGTCATGGTTTCTAAATACCGTTATGAAGAACCTATTAATTTTATATCAAAACTGTATGTGATTTGTGTCAATTCTGATTCAATCGGGCTCAGGATATACTGATAAAACTCATTTGATTGTAATCTAAGGTGTGGTTCGAAATAAAAGCAAAAAGTTTTGAATTTAACAACTATTATTAGACAGTATATTAATAATCGTTAATGATATTTTAATGCAAAGCGTTGCATATAATTAATTGCTGCGTAGAATGGCAATTGGATGATTTTATGATACTTAGAGAGAGGGCTTACTAGGACCAACTTGAAGTAGTGTTATCTTGTTGAGCCTGAATGGAATTGGTGGGTCATTTCTAGTACAGGCCTGGACGCAAAATGTCATTCTCAACCACCATTCCCGAGTGCGTTATATTAGCTATATGTTTGTATAATTGTGCTACACTCACCTTGTCATGATCTGATGGTCCGTGACCTTTTAGTGGCCTGGTGCCAGGAAAATTACAAACATATAGTGGCACAGCCCTCCAGAAAAGTCTTATCAAGTCCATGCATCGGAAGCAAATCTCTTCCATACCCGACATGGACTGAAAACCGAACTGGTGGCCGTGGCACGCCGTATAATTAAGTCGTCTTATCGACTTGCCTCTCCCCGGAATAAATATAAAATCCTAACCCATCCATTTTCATCGTATTTCAGTATCACGAGAACTGCGGAAGACCACCATATACTTTCCCTTTCAAGTATGTGGAATGAAACCTGCAATTTCAAATGAAGGGGTTGTATACTCAAGTTCAATATGGATTATAGAAAGATCGGGATATTTCATGAAATATGCCGATTTCAGCTGCAGATATGGAAGTAATCACGCAGCGTTATCTCCACCACGTAATATGTAAGATTGTTTTGTTATCAAAATTGTAACCTGCTTCACTAAAGAGAGCATTCGCACACATTTATGTAGAGCAGTCAATTTGAAACGCCCATCAAACCCGAAAATGTATGGAATAAACTTTGGGAATTAGAACGCATAAGGAATTTTGTACTCGGTGTGCGCTCGAAGCTTTTCGAAACGCCTTTTGGCTTGCATTTGCATGGTTTTTGGCAGTAATTTCAAGATGTCACATACCTTCTTCCTAAGTGAACTTCATTGATCGCTTTAACGACCAGAGTTCGTGGGACTGTAAGAAAGGATTTTTTTTTTTATTAGTGTAGTATGAGGCTGATATCTAGTTCGTTATCCTAAGTTGGTGAGCAGAAATGAATCGACAGACAGATACGCTCACGCTCAAACTCGACGTTTTTGTTTCACCTTTTGCAACGTTTTGATAGTTATACAAGCTACTCGTTGACCTTATTTTCGAATGTTCCTCGGGCTAACCTACATTATTTATTTTAAATTTATTATGCTATTTTCAGCGCGACAGAGAACCTAACGACAAGGGATGGATCTCAAACTTTAGTGAGCTTATGTAGAACACCGTATTATTGCCCACGCAAACTATGTCCGGCTGAAGAATCCTTCACGGACCACGCAATTTATTTTGCAAATGACGTCATGCATCTGGAAATAGCCATACAAAGCGACAAGGTATGGATATAAAATGTAAAACTAAATAAGGTGATATATCGTTCTCTGAGTAAAATCTTTATGCGACTCGTCAGTATTCTGCTATTGCCAATACAGCGTTTACCAACTTTGTATTTAGTGCAGTTTCTTTAACATCGTTTGGTTATTTGATATTACTGTGATACATATATATGGGCACATCATAAACTATTTTAACTGCGCGAAAACTAAAGTGGAATTTGAATGTAGCACTAGCTAAAGTTAAAAAATGAACGAATATCGAAAATAGAGATTTAACGTATGATTAGTTAGGGGGAAATAAAGATCCAAAATAGGAAAAGGGGTAAATATATTGATAGTGGTTGGCACCCTTTTTGCCAATACCCGATTTCGTAAAAAAATAAAGACTTGTGTTATTGTCTGAAGCACGACATTGTATTGCTGCTAGTGTGTCGGGGTGCAAAAATTTGATTCCACGTAATACTGTACCAGATATGATAGTCAACAAACATAATAAAAAAATACTATTCAATGTGAGAGACTTAAAAAGTTAAATAAACTGGAAAGAACCGAGATGAGAATTTTTGAAATGTATGTCATTCCGTCTACAATGCATTCATGGTTATATTCGCCTCGCCCGAATTTTTTTTCATTGCTAATGAGCTCTATCAACATAATTTTGACGATTATTCAAATATCTTGTGCGGAGGGAATATTTTGTAGCCGTTTTGCTGAACGTATTGACGTGGACAGATTTGAGTGTCGTCTCAATCGGGATTTGCCAACGCACAATTCTACAGTATAAGTATAATTTAATACAGTCTTATTACTTTGGTGAGGCGGCACTTTAGTGGTTACTCACTTCTATTTTTGAGTGTGCTGACCTCGATTTGAGCAAATCTTCTTATATATTTTAAATATTCTGGGATCTGTTATACAAAGACCTCGCCAGCGCTCGAAAAACGCCAAGTAGTTATTATCCAGTTAGGGTTAGAAATGCAGATTGTGCTGAAAATGCAATTTTTTTAGTCCATTCCTAACAATAACAGAATAATTACTATTTTTCTATTTGAAAACGTGGCGGAGTTGTTTTTGTCAAATCTCACATTTTTGCATTAGTGGCAGGGGCTTTGTACAAAGATCCAAATTCTGTTTGCAGGAAACTTTGCCGGTAGCGATAGAAGAACTTTACACTTCATGCGGTAGCAGGCCACAACCTGATAATATACGTTATCACTCTGTACATCGAGGTTGCCAAACGCAAAATATCCAGTATTCAAATCAAGTCGATCAAGATCGCACTTTGCGGACATACGTCGACTATAATGGACAAAGTAACACAATTTGCCTGAGCGTTTATACTCCACCAGTCAAGAACTGTCCAGTATATTTCATACGTGGCTCTGTGACGAGATGCAGTGAGGAATCAACGGTAAGCAACTGCTGGTGCCTATTAAATCTTTCATTATTTATCATTGATTTGCTTACGCTTTTTCTTTATTCCCAACCCTTAGGTATATTCAAACAACGCTTTTGTCACGCTCATTACTGACAGACAGAGGTGGGACTAAAAATTTGAGGAACGGGTTCTCTTTTTATCGAACTCACTAAAAACGGGTTTGCTCGTTTTAAAAAATGCATGTATGATTATACTATACGTAAAATGCATTACATTGATAAATTTCAAGAAAGAGTTCGCGGGAACCAGTGCTAACTCCCTGAATCCTACCAGCATTAACAGAGAAAAATATTCAGGATTTCTAGAGCACTCGCACCGTTTCCAACCATTTCACATCATATACTAACCCAGGGCTACTCAACTGACGGACCGCGGTCGGACCTTTCGAGTACTTAATTCGGACCGCACCGTCTTTTTTTATTATAGATCATTAGCCCTAAGCTTATAAAACGACTTTTATAGTTTTGAATATATATGAAAATAACTATAACACCATAATAAGCAATTTTGATTATCTAATAATCATTAGCCGGTCGAGGAAGTGCGCGTTTAAGGATGCCGAAATATAATGTCTGGAAAGGCCGAACCCAAATAAGTTTTTTACGCGGATCTTCGGTAAAAATATAAAAATAGTTAAGTAGCCCTGTTAACTAACCTACTAAGTCTTTAATTAAATATAATTAAAATAGTGAATATGGGGAGTTGACTCTGATGACCGTATCACTCCCCCGTATATACCAAAAAACTTTGCGTATGTTGTTGTATATATTTTCATCGTTGCAATGCTCCTTTTTTCTGGTTGAAACAAAAATAAATATTCCTCACTCTATTACACTTTCAACTCATTCTTTTTTTACTTTATTCAGAGATGTCCTGATATAACTGGCTGGCGATGCGACAACGGGACAAAGGCTTCTGAATTTTCATACGGGCCTTTCCATCTATTTCCGAGGGATGCAGCGACCGGAGAAGTAAATTACATCGGCGAAGATTTGGAGACAACATCTATCAGTTATGAAGAAACAACGACTAACTCTGACGAGTATTTCGACATCAATGAAGATTTTGTACCCGGAGGTAGATCAACTGCCGGTATACAACAAGAAAAAGACCAACGAAAGAATATACATGACATTTCAATGAGCGGCCCCGAAGGTGGCGAACCGAGTCCGAAATTTGATCTCCGAGATCGCATACGTGGTCGTACAAGTGCTGATATCATAGATAAAAGCTTACAGAGACCCAATTCAGCAGCGAATACTCGTGTAAACGTTATCAACATACCAACATCAACTCTGACTGACGCAGATCATTCTGGTGAACTTGAAGAAGGAATCAAAGAATTTCCTGCGTTACCATCGGCTAAAAGACACAGAAGCAAGGCTGAGAGAGGAAAGTCTAGAAGAAATAGGAAAAATCGAAAAAAGAGCCAAGTTGTTGTGAAAGGCGTATTTGTTGAAGTCGACGGCACGGATGCGAAGGACATCCCACAATATGTTCCTGAAACGGAGAAACATGATTTGCAAGACGTGACAAAAGCGGATGAAGTTGATGCTATGACAGTACCAAGCCCGGCCAGAAAGGTTGCAGGCCGTGGAAATATAAAACCATCTCTAGGTACGTTATAAAATTAGCTTTTTTTACTGAAATAATATTCTCATTATCTGTTCTTTGAAACCTCATATACTTAAGACGCGGGACGCGCGGTGTCAGCTTTCATCTCTTTGAATTGAGTTAATAAGAATGCGAATTTAAAGTTAGAACATTCTGAATAAAAAAGCCACATGCATTATAACAAGTTCATAATCAATTGTCTTCTTACTAATTGTTTTACCCTAATCTCGCTCTATGCCTTGGCGCAGGTGCTTTTGTATAAGGATGACTATTCTATTCGTCTCGTTAATCATGCAACAACTTATTTCTGTAACGAGGCCAGACGGTGCTCCTGAAGTATGCGCACCAGGATGTCGCATAACCTGAACCCTAACCTGGTACACAACATGAGTTCAGGTTGTGCGCCATCTTGGTGCGCATACTTCAGGAGGTCCGGCCAGACTTATTATCTCTAGCTACATATCAATTTCGTTACTGCCAACATATTACAGGAATTATCATACCGGCCCAATACCTAACATATGTATGTTGTCGTACTATTTTCTGATGCTGTCAATACGTATTTTTAGCGAAATTCACAGCTGCCGATGGGAATAAAGGTTTTATTTGGGCGTCTGTGACGGCCCTTGCTTTGTTTCTTCTTCTGTCTATTGGAATATTGGCTGCATGGACGGCGAACAAAAGAAAAAGATCTGGAAAATAGTTGTGTAGTTCATTAATTTGTTCAATTTGCATTATTTCATAATACAGAAGTGTTACTGTAATATAATTTTGTATGGAGACTTGTTCCCAATAGGCAAATTAGTTCAGGAAACCTATAAGGTATGGTGAGACACGTTGCCGGTTTTGTACCGCGATAACGTTGGCTGCGAAGTTGAAGTTTGGGCAAAGGATTCGAGAAGTATTGTTAATTTCTCACATGAATTTAGGCATAACCAGACCGGAGGTATCTACGTAAAGGCGCCCGTGGGCGTCCGTGGCAAAGTTTAAAAATGCACCTCAATTGATACCTGACAGACTGTTGTTGAATTTAGAAACGTTTTTATTCGAGTTAAAATTATATCAAAACTTTTTGCTCTTTTTTTGCGTTCCAAACTGGCATGTGATAATTTCTAATATCTGGGTTATACCGCATAAGCTAAGAGCTACAGCGGAAAATGGAAACATTTTAATTTTGCTTTATCACAAAGTTATTTTTGTATCGTAATAATATTTATACTAAATAATTCAAGCTGTACAAAAGTCAGTGCAAGTGGCGCCTATCATCTATTCAAAAATTGAATAACAGAGTTTTTATGCTTAGTGAGGAAGAATGAGTTTTTGAGTATATAAAGGATTACGCCAAGAGCGATTGGAAAACATTGACCTACATCATATCGAGTGACGTGTCCCATTCATGACAAAAGTCACTGGCCATATAAAGTGAGTGAGATGCCTACTCTTACCAGTTATCACATAGGTTAATGAAATGCTTATTTTCAAAATTATGTTTATTTAAATTTAAAAAATGGCAGTGCAGTGAACTACGGTACAAAATGACAAACTACAAATTTACGCTAATAACACATTTTCTGATCAGAAGAGAGTGAGCTAAAGAACTTCTCAACCGATGACAGGTCGATTTTTATTTCAATAACATATTGAGATAAGGTTCTGGTTAGGGATGCCACTTTCGGATTTACGAATCGGATCGATTCGAATCGCATCTTTTCCGAATCGATTCGAATCAGATTTACGCGATTCGGAAAAAGAGAGCGATTTAGCGAAAAAAAAACATTGAACGTTTGTTAAATCGTCGTTTTCGGCGGCTTTAAATCTGCCAGAGTGTGTTTATGCGGCACTCCAAATAACGCCAAATTACGGGACCGAAAAAAAAACATTGAACGTGTGTTAATCGTTGTTTTCGGCGGTGTTAAAACTACCGAATGCGTTTATGCAGCACTCCAAATAACACCAAATTACGGGACCGAAAGAAAAACATTGAATATTTGTTAATCGTTGTTTTCGGTGGCGTTTAAACTGCCGAATGCGTTTATGCGGCACTCCAAATAGCAACAAATTACGGGACGTAAATAAATGAAAATGAATTTTTCGTGATTGACTTTTTTACTTGTCTGCCGTCATTTGTTTCAAGTTCGACACAACACACTCTTTTACGCATCACTCGAGATGATGTGTGGCGTAATTACCAGCAAACTGCGAGTTCAGTTTTCCACTAAATAGCCGAAGTTTCCATTATGCGCGAATTCAAATGGATCGTATACCTGAAAATTCGTGACAATTTTGATGAAAATTTTCAACAGCACACCTGCGCTGCCACTAAGTTATTGTACGCCCTGGCATGATTGGATAAAGAATCGGCTACCGACGTCTAGATAATGTTTAATTTTGATTGAAATTTAATTTAAACTTTGTTCTGAGAGCAATATTTCGCGTACATTTGAAGAGAACTATTGCTGAATGAGTTCATCGGCCGGCAATGTTAATTTACAATCATGTATCTCATCCTAAAATATATTTTTATTTTGTTTGCGTTTGTCAGGCTTCCACTCGAGTGGCGGTAAACGAAATCAGGGGGACATAATGTAATAGTACATACACGTCTTTTTTCAGCTGTTACCAAAAAAAGTAGTATTTACTTTTAATTTTGTTAGCGCGATACAAGCGGATAAAACATTTCGGATTATTTCGAGCAAATGTCATAACGGACAGGTGGGAGTAAATAATACTTGAGGAATGGCAACTCGTGCACTGTTTTACATCAACACGTGGCAGATTTCATACCAGACCGAGCATACGGTGCGAATGTCGTCTTACTTTAGCCCCAGCGACCATGTTTGATCGAGATAAAGCGTCAACCAATTATCGCTAGTCAGCGCGGCGTCCATTATGCACATTTGGACTTTCTGAATTACGAAATTAAACGTAGTCCACATTAATAATGAAGCCCGAGTTAGCCAATAACGCTGTTTGCCACAAATAATACTGTCTCTAATATTTATGGAAATTTTTGTTCGCAATCGTAGTCGGATGAACGAAATTAATTTAATTTAATCGTGGTTAATTTTATCGTCTTCAATCATATTCTTGTAAGCATTTCCCATTTATAGTAATTCAGATGCAATTAGAATGTTTTTGTCGTATTACTCTATGCTGCTAGCATAAATATAAAATATTGTACTAAGATTTTGAAGATAAAGAATCGGTAATAAGGCCGTCCCTAATTCAATATAACAAGAAGGGAAATACCACGGTCACATATACTGGTGTGGGACAAGGGAAAGCAGTGCTGTTACTGTGTTTACGACATAACAGTACAACTGTTCCCTGCTTATTTTCTCATATGAATTCCATCAAATTGCCTCAGCCCTGATACAAGTATAACACAATAACTCAGTATTGTAAGACTCACAGATAAGTTGCAACAGCAAGTTTTTCATCAATGCATTTATTAGTGATATCTATGACCTACATCTTTTTTATCATGATGAAAATAAGTGTGGCTTATTCACTGAAAAACCCTCATCACCCTTGCTATATAGCCTATTCCATTTTCAAATTTTTTTCTTCTAGATTTGAGCTTTTTTGTGAGTTTGGCCAAACATACGCATGTAATAAAAAAAAAAAAGCTTAATGGAATCAGATTCGGAAAGATTCGATTCGAAAAGTTTTGATTCGAGATTCGATTCGAAAAAAAATGTATCCAGAAGTGGCAACCCTAGTTCTGGTTTACTACAGAATAAATTGAGTGGTTTTCATCCTTCTCTAATGGACATGGTTACGAAAAGTCACTCCAAAATTCGAAATATTTGAGTTTAAAGGTTCACCCAAATTCCCACCTACAATGAGGTGTACCTATCCAAAGTTATTAATGTAATAACAGGCCATCTCATTTCAATCTGGAATATTTCAAAACTAAATATAAACTGAACCCATTAAGAAGTAAGCTTGAGATAACATTTGATGCGAAAGTTTACCCAAGACTATTTATTTTAATTTTGGCTTTGACAAAAATAATTAGGTTTGAATGATTGTGATTTTGAATTATATTCACTAACCATCAAAGAAAAATATAACTCCAGTCGCTCTAGCTTGAGGGAGTTTTGTTAACCAGAGTAGTATACATCTCGATCAGAGTAGTAAATTTTAAATAGCCACATTTTGAGGGTTTCAAGACAGGTGAACACTGAAATTTTGAAAAACTTTTATTTGAAAAATATTATAATATTCGCCGAAGTATTTAAAAAAAAGTTTCAGGAGTTTAAAAATCAAAATATACATTTTTCTCATTTAAGACAGTTTTGGCAAGTTTCGCGCTTTTTGGTTGAAGCCCTCGATTTGATGACATTTTTATTTTAACTCAAAATTGGCACTCCCGAGTATGTTAACCAAGATGGTGGACATCAGAACGTAGTATGTGGACCAGGTTAGAATTAGGTCATGATTTTAGATACAAATACTATGCGAGTCACATGGCTAGTAATCCCCAAACTCGTAATAGAACTAAAATAAGGAAAATTGGAATAAAATTATGGCTTAACCCCAACCTGGTACACATACCATGTGTGTCTGCGTCTTGGTTCACATACTATGGGAGCACCTTAAAATTTTCTAAAATCGTTTCACTCATTGGAAGCATCATATTGATTCGCATGAAATTTAATGAAGCTCATTTGTTGGTTGAGCTATAGCAATAAGTTTATAAAGAAAAAAAAAAGTCAGAAGCTATTCACATACAAAACGAAATTGCAACAAAAGTATAAATGCAAAGGCTCAAGGCATCCAAACTGATATCTGTTATAATCAAGAAGTACGGTATGTCTATACAGGGTGTCCAAAAAGTTCCGCCCGTTTCATAGCATTACCAATTGCAAATTTGAATAAATTTTGTTGTATGATAAATGGGGACTACAACATTCAACATCTATAACATCCAATTAGAAATAGGTTTACTATAAATCTTTTTTAAAATAAAGAAAAAATAACATTTGATTATAATGATTTTATAATCGGGCGAGACGTTTTGGACACCCTGTATAATATTTCCATGACTTGATTTCTTTAAAAATAAATGGCGTTTTCAAGTTTTCTTAAATTAGGGACGTGAGTTCGTGACGTTATGAAAGACAAACGATGATATTTAAAACAGTCCAATTTGAAAAACAGATGAATTCACAGAATTCAAGAAAAGAATGTAGATTATTGCAAGCAAAAAACAGTTCTAATATTATTGTTATGATAACATTCATTTCAAACACAGAACTATTTGAATTTCATGATATTCCGAAGCAAATTGTTGTAATTGCCCTTTCAAATCATGATTCGCTTGGTAATGGAACAATATTTGAAATACAAAATGTACAGTATGGAAGCACAACGAAATATCAAGCCCTTTCACAAGCAACTTGTGTGTAAAAAAAAACTCATCAATATAATCAGTAAATCGTTCCGTATTTTTTATTTCGAATGATATGTAAAAATATAATGATCAAGTTATTACGACAGCATGTGATACTTCATTTACGACAAAAACAACTGTATAATCTCATAAACAACATGGCAATCAGGTTGTGATTACTGATAAGGCATTTGCTGCTGCGGTGCCTGTGACGGGGCAGTAGGCTGCTGACTATAATGGGGACTTTGCTGAGATGGTGGCGTTGCATACTGAGCAGAGTAGTTTGGAGACTGCTGACGGGGTTGTTGTTGTGTGTACTGCTGACTAGGTGGAGGCATTTGTTGCCCGGCTGGTGGCACAGGGTATCCTGGGTAGCCGGCTGAGCTCTGTGGTGGGCCAGGTCTCCCATAATAAGGAAGGGGCTGGCCTTGTTGCTGCATCATTCCTTGGTGTGTAGAAGTTGGATATTGGTGGGGTTGGGGTCCTTGTTGCGGATAGTTTGCAGATGACTGCCCTGGGTGAGGTGCACTCTGATTTGGCGGGTAGCCACTAGAGGGTGGTGGGCCATATCCTGACGGCTGATGATTATAAGGACCTGCTTGTGGCTGCTGTGGATAGACTTGTGCTTGACTGTATGATGAGGGGGGAGGAGGCTGCTGATAGTGAATTTGTTGTTGCTGGGAGTAAGATGAAGCTGGTGGAGGCTGAGGGTACGACGCAGGTGCAAGCTGCTGCTGATTGTATGAAGCCTGGGACTGTGGATAAGATGCAGGAGGTGGGTGTGAAAAAGAAGGTGTGGCCTGGTTCGGCACTGGCATATTACTCTGCATTGGCTGTTGTTGTGGTGGATACTGAGGGGGCATCGAAGTCGTAGCTAGTGGTGATTGTCGCTGGGCTGGTGGGACGGGTGTGTGAGGCTGACTTGGGTCACTTGGACTTCTCATAGGAGTTCTGCTTCCAGCAGAGTTTGGTGATCTGCGATATTGCGCTGGAAAAGTACCTTGCTGTGGCTGGCTGTATGGAGTCTTCGTTTGTGGTGACGATCTGTGAGGTGAAGCATATGCTGGCGATGCCGTAGAAGGATTAGCAGCAGTCAGTTTGGGTGTTGCTGCTTTTGGGACAGTTTGATTCGGCAGGGTTACTATTGCTGAAGTCTCGGGTGCTGGCACACTAGAAGATAGTAAACTTGATGCCTCAGATTTCATAAGTTTGGTCGATTGTGGCATTGGCATTCCACCGATACCCTGTTTGGGTGAAGTTTGATTTAGCAAGTTTTGAGCATTGCTTTGATTAGAGTCAGCGACAGTAGCCAACCATACTAGATTGCGATGTAGAATTTGCTGATACTGTGCACATTCTCGTCTATTCCCGCTGTTTTGATTATCAACAATGCATTGAATTAAATGACTATTTTCATCCAGAAGTTTTTGTATAGTTTCTTGTGTAACAGGACCTTTGCTTCCACGAACATGTTGAGGCACAAACACACTAGACATATTTATTAATAGTCAATCTGCATTGTTAAATAAAAAAATATTCAAATTAGTAGAATAATAATATATAAAGTGGATCTCTATAATCAGATCTGACCTACCTACTCACATTTTGAATAAAAACGTGTTATTTATTAGGAAATAGATATTGGTTTTCATATTTTGTATATATTTGAAAATCTGGCAATTCTCTACTTTGTAATTTTGTTTCTGATGAATGAAAATATAAGACATCCTCCAAAAATAAGCCCTAGTGTTATTTTTCGGAAAAAAATTTAAAAAAAAACCAGTCTTATTCTCGGGAAAACACTGTAGTAAAAATCTATAAACTTATGGTCAGAATTCAGAATAATATATGAAGATTCTAATCCTAGTGAATGATTTGGTATCAAAATTGAATCCCAGTACAGCGCATTTGGTGTGATAATGTTTTACCCATTTTTTTTTGGTATAAAGTAAACTTTGAGGCAGCGAACTCTTGCAAAATTTGTTCAACTAGTTAATTTTTATTGAATTTTATAGAATTGCTTTATATTGAAGATGATAGATAATTTAAAAAAAGAAATTCAGCATATTAGTTACAGAAATAAGGAGAAAAATGCGAAAGCATGATAAATTACATCATGTCAATTTAGAGGCAATGTATAATATTCTGCAAAACCTTATATCCGGATTAAATATGTCAAATTTATGACATAGGTCAAGTGTGTGTGTTACCAGATGAATCAACATGGCTAGTTTGCTACATAATAGCATTTTTTTTATAAAATCGAGACTTTGAAGCGAACTTATAAAAAATCATTGTTAGCAAATAGCAATGAGAAAATAAAAAAAAGAATTAGGGTCTGGTATAGTTTAGTACCACATGCACTTCTAGTTAGCCTGGCTCAACAATTTTTGCATATGTCAATCCTAACCCTTACCTGACTATGTCACCGAAAAATTACGTCATCTCAACGTCACAGTGGCGTAATAAGACCCACCAAAGTATGCGGATGGTCGTTCAAATCGCGCAGACGATCACCCGAAATCGAGCAAGCTATTTCTCTCGTTTTCTTGTCACAACGATCACGATAGGGAGAGAGATCGCCGGCTTTAGCGAGTTCGTTATCGGAAGCGCAGATGCCATTTCGGGCTATCGTAATTATAATTTGGCAAGCCCTATGACGTTATGGTGACGTCGTAGTGACGTAATTTTTGGATGGCATAGTCAGGTGAGGGTTAGGAATAAATATGCAAAATTCGTTATGCTACGCCCAATGAAAGTACTTGTGGTGCTAAACTATACTAGACCCAAGAATTATACATGGTGTCAGAAAAATATTGCTTGATTTTATAGTAAAATCAAAAATCTGGCACCGGTACCTACAGACCTATGTCAATAATTCCATGAACTTATTCAATCCAGGCATTACAATACAATTTATTTTGGCATTTTGAAAACCCAACACTTGGTAAAAAAAAATCATATTATAGAAATGCCTGAAAAATGAGCAAAACTCAAGAATAAAGTTTATAGCATGTAATGCGCATGCTCGTTCACCAAAAACAACACACATAATAACAATTATAATCAAAAGAGACTCGACGAGCAGCAGTGACAGGCTCGTCGGATGTTTCATGTGATAGGAAAATGAGGCACGCATAAAAATTGAAAAAATGTCAAAGTACGGTCCGGTACATAGAGAACGCAAAGGCCGCAAACACATTGAGGTATAATTGCATGTGATTGAAGAACTGCTCCAACTCCAAAAATTTCACTCCATTTAGCTCTATAAAACAAGGACTCTATGTGTCTCACAAACGAGGGGCGTCTAGGACCACTTCAGATGCGTCATACCACACCATGCTTGTCTAAATAATAATCTAAGTTAATCGCGGCCAAAACATGACCAAAATTGCCGTTTTTTGCTAAAAACTCTCGAATGATACGATGAAAAAATTTTTTCTTCAGTAAATCAGATTATTTTTTCCCAAGGAATTCAATGATGCCGTTACTAGATTGCGCTTTTTTGTAGTATGCTTTTTTGTAGTATTTTGCGCAACTTCATTATACTGTATTATTACCGTTATTGAGGGACAACAATGTCCAGACGTCTCCCAATAGAGGGGTGTCTGATCATCTGTAAAATGGGTTTCTCTGGAATGGGACAATGTCATCCGATTTGTATCTATAGTGTGCCGTGCACTTGCTACATGAAAATATCAAAATTTGAAGGCAGCATTTGAAATATTCACAGATTTACAGATAAAAATACATCAAAAAACAAGAATGACAAGTAAATACAGAAATAAGGAGTAAAATTATTTTTGACAACAGAAAGGAGTAAACATAAAACAATCCTAGCTACGGTACCTACTAGACTACCGGGACAGGTACCGATATCATATTCCGGTATTTATTCCAGAGGCAGAGGGGCATGATCTCCTGAAGTATAATAGTTGAAAAAGTCTAAAACTCTGTGACAAAACAATACTACTGTATGGGTAACATTCGGGTACGTGTTACAGGTTCACCGTGCCGGTCCCGGTACGGTACTTCGTACTTGACGAATACTGATAGTCCTGGAGTCCATCGATGACTGCGCCGGATAAAATTCAAAAGCTCTTTAGTGCTAACAGTGTTGGATGAAAATGGAAAATATGAATCGTTAGGTGTCACTGTTCAAAAATAGTAGTGTTCGGAGTCTAAAATAATTTAAAAATGTCCTCATTATTGCCAACAAATGTTCAATTCATAAATAATATTGCAAGTCAATGTAATGACAATTGAACCTTTATAATTACCATGTGTGACGACCATTATTTTCAAATTTAGCGCACCATTATTTGTATTTTAATGCTCAAGAAACTGGTGATACTGTAGCACTGTCGATATATCCGGTTAAGATAAGACAATGAGCATATTATGCTCGGTGACAGTTGCAGCAGTGCACTGAGTGTCGAATGCAGTTATACGATGCAATTTTATTTCGATCTTTCGTCTACAGAACTGACCACAAACAGAAAACTGAGACAGGGGCGACGGAAAGATCGGGGAAATAGGCAAAATCTAGACAGTGCCTATTCGCCCACACACATACAAGTGTTTCCTGTAAAAAAACATTGCAGTTTTCAAAAATTTTGGGAATTTATCCAATCTTGCTGTGGTTGTTTTCGTAAGATTCCTAGTGTTTTCAGGTTTTAGAGAGAGAGAGAATTTTTATTGTTATTATGGATAGGATTTGGGTCTGGCCCAAACATGGTACACATACTACACATACTGCGGGAGTTCAATTAATATTTTCATGTTTTTGTTATTTACTTTCCTAATACTGTGTATGTATCACTAAGTTGCACTAAAATATTTTCCACATTCTCGTCACATTAAAATTTTGTCCCTGATCCACTGTTTATATATATCCAATTATTTATTATTTCTATTTATTATCGTTTCAAGCCCAATTGAATTTAGTAATTTAGTTTTCAGCTAAATATTAAATTTCCATAGCATTATTCTGGTCGCTTTAGATTAACATAGGACACCCCCCTTCCTTTTTTGTTTTCTTCTATTTTCTTTCTTTTAAAAATACTCATAACAATGCATTTACCCACGAGTCTCCTAATTTTATTCAGAATTTTATTGTAAAAATATTAATGTAATAGTTTAAGTAGTTTTGTCATTGGTCATCTTTCAGTGTTATCTTAATAAAATCAGCATATATGGTGGGAGCTGACTTCGATGACCGTATGGTCGTATCGCTTCCTCCTGTCCATACCAAAAAAAAAAAATTTTTTTTGCTAGTGCTATTTTACTGATGACTATTTTTTACGTTTTTTGGTTGACGAAATAATAAAATCTCTCTCTCTCTCTCGTCAAACCAGAAAACACATACAATATATATATGATAGCAAAATGAGAAAAATTAGATTTCGGTAGATGACAGGGTGGTAACGATACGACCATTAACAGTCATCTGAGCCGGTTACCACCCAAAGCAAGCACATGAATAAATAAATTAATAACACAGGTTCTGTAATATTACGCTCTCAGGATATACATATGGAAAAAAAACTATATACACTATGTAAAAAAAAAATGATATCTAATTAGAGATGAGAAAAATTTCTAATCGGGATTAGGAAGTTATTAAATAAATTTTAAATAGAGAGGAGCAAAAAATAAGAATTCCATACCAAATTTATTATTATTTATTATATTAATTTACACTTTCAATCTGTTCTGAATTTTCTTTTGTGCTTACACATGATAAAATATGAGGGATATGATCACAGGGAAATTGAAGGTTCTATGAGTGACAATAATGTGTTGTGTGAAGAAAACCATAGATTGAGATATGAAATATAGGCATAACAGTAGTACAATTTTATATTTTCAATTCATTAGGGTGAAGAAAAAAAGCAGGATGCATATGGAACTTCTGCGAGATTTACACATTACTACACAGAACAGGTATTAAGATGGGAAACAATCAGATTGGTATTGCAACCCTTCACAAATAATTTAGAAATAGACAAATATGACTATGAGTTGAAATAGATATGTGATATCAAATAAATTTTGACAAGGCTGGGTCAAATTAAATCATGATAGCCCAAAATATATTTCGTCTTGTAGTAATTTATTGCATACACGAGGTTTAAACTATTAGAGTTTCTGAACAATTAGCAAATTTGTCTATATCACTATGCACATTAATTAAAAGAATATTGATCACATTAAATTCAATACACAGTATAATACTACATAAATATATATATTAGATCAAGGCCCTCCTATCCTTTGTATCTAAATTGCAATTAAGATGAGCAATTTTGGGTTATTAGTTATACATATATGGCAAACTAAGGGAAGGAATAGTCAAACTATTGTATGTCACAATTAGAAGAACATAATGTACACAACTACATTATAATATAAACTAAAATTATGACCCAGGGCAGTCTAGTTTCAAGCCATTGTAGTATGAACCACAATTGGATGATATGAAATGGGTGATATGATATATCACATTGTAGCTAAATATGTACTATATTTAAGACTACAATAAGATTAGCACCTTTCACATATTTTGTATATCATTTTCATAAGAATCAACCAAAGAATATATATAACAAATGTACATGTTATTATTATACTCCAACAGTATGATTCATATTAAATAAAGAGCGACGATAGCATATGATTACTTAGAATTATTAGCAATTGTAAAATGAAAAGATTTTGCGGTATACATTAAAATAACCCGGTTAGAATAGTTTATAAGCATAATAAAACAAATATTTGAATGTACACAATGGGAGTGCTTGATCTACTAATTTTAAGGCACAATTCAAAGCAGTATAATTACAAGGTTGCAAACATACACATGTATATAATACAAGTGAAAGTCATATGTGAGGTAGTCACTATGTTAACACCATAATTGGTAAACATGCAATAATAAGAAAATAAATGTTGAAAAGAAAACTGTGAATATACTATACATGAAATGGCTTATTACATTCTACTGACAGATATACAACTCGATTCTATTTATACAACTAGCATTTTCTGCCGTTTTCTTCTGGTGTAAACTTTAAAAAGCACACTTTAAATGTTGTTACCGATAATATTGTTCAGTCATGACCATACATGAAATGGCTTATTACATTCTATGGGATAGAGATACAACTTATAACAACATAATTTCAAATTTTGCGACGTAATGGAAAATAAATATAAAATAAGAAGCCTTGCAAGAGAATGGCGGCAAAGTCCACCATGAACCATGCAAATGTGTCGCAGCAGTATGAGGCACAGGGTCTTCCATGTTTGTATGTAGATGTTGTTAGTAAGTAGAATGTCATTAATGTTTGAGTTTAGCGCA